GTCCCTACCTGTACTCACTGTACACATGACTGTGTATCATCTGACCCATCCACTGTGCATTAAGTTTGCAGATGATACTACTGGATTGAGTCTCATTACTGGTGGAGGTGAAATAATGTACAAGGGAAGGTTCAAAAATTATCCTCATGGTGCCTACCTGCACCTGAAAACAACCTGCACCTAAACATCAGCAGGACAAAGGTGATGGTGTTAGACTTCCAGAAGAAGAGAGAGGAACCCACCCCACTTTACATTGTGGGGGGCTGTGTGGATAGTTTCCTCCTTTAAATTCCTGGAGTCTACCTCAGCGAAGATCCCACCTGGAAAATCAACAAAGCTCAAGTGGCTAGAAAGGCCCAACAGAGACTCCATTTCCTTAGGGTCTTGTGAAAGAATAAAGTGGAATGACCGATGAACTCATTTTACCAGAAGGCGTCCTCATATATTGCATTACAGTGTGATATGCTACTTTGACAGCCGCGGATAGAAAGACATTACAGAGGGTGGTGACCACAGCACAAAATATTGTGGGCTGTCCCCTGACACCACTAGATGACATCGCTAGGGCTCGCTGCCTTGGAAGAGTGAGGAAAATTTTCAGGGATGACTCACATCCCGGTCAACACTTCTTCAATCTCCTACCATGGGGTAGGAGATATAGAAGATAGCCAGCCACACCAACAGGCTGAAGAACATTTTTCTATGCGTGAGCTATCAGACTTCTGAATGGAACATAACTTCATGTCAACATAGTATGACAGACTTGCGGGGCCAGCGCATTGTGCAACAAAGTCACATAGTGTAATAAGATTGGGATTGGGTTAGGGACTTCTGTCCTCACTGTGAGTTGTGTTGGGGGGTATGCATGAAGGGAGGCTCAGCCAACCTCATTGTACACATGTTGTACTCTGACAATAAAGGTAATAATAATGAGAAACAAAAAAGAATTTTGTTCAAGATTTAGACCAATTCCACCAGAACATTCAGAGGATACTATAGGAAAAAATAATTAAGTCTCTGGCGGGATTTATGGAGGAGAAAGATGCTTATTGATACAATCTCAAGAATCAAGACACATTTTGAAAATTAAGGAATGTTCCAAGGAATGCCCTTGTACATTTTGTCAAGAAGAGATTTCAGTTCTACATCACTTTAATATCTGATTGAGGATTGATAAAATCCTTCAATCCATAAACCCCATTGACAGCTGGTTCTGCAGTTGTACACATTCTACTGTTAGAATTTTACTGTTATGTTTGGGTAAGCAAATTATGATAACTAAGTGTAACCGAGAGAGCCAGTGAATAGACAACTGATACATATCTTAGCCCACAGAAAGGAAATGTTTCATGAGAGACCCTCCCTAGTTTTTCAGAGAGTAAAAGGAAAGTAGGGCACAAATACTTTTAGTCTTGCAGGATTCTATTATAATAACCTTACCATAAAGACAGAGCTATTACTCTTGGTTGTGTTTCTTGTCTGTGCTATCACTACTTGATAATAAATAAAAGACAGCTGAATAGAAATGTTTTAAAATTGTTCATTAACATATCGAAGCATACAAAAATTACGATGACCAAACATTTAATATGGGTTAAAAGTACAATAGCAGCAATACTATTATTAAACTACATTAGTTTTAAATTAAACTATAGAAAATGAAAATAATGAGACAATGATTTGGGGCACAATTCATCCTACACAAATTGAGGGTGTTCTTTATTGGAACCCTTTCCTCTTTGCCAACATTAGGCTTTGAAAGGGAAAAAAAAAGGCCAACCAATGATGGAAAATGATAATCTACCACTTTTTACTTCAAAGAGGGTTAATGAAAGTCATATGAATCGGTAAACAATACTACAATACTGTCTTTATTCTTACTTTAAAAGTCAGTTCCTGTTTCTATCAACATTTTCATCCCAGGGCCTTCAAGGAAGAACTTCAATGGAATTTTGCAGTGCAGGCTCAGCTTTTGATCCATTTTATACATTTAATACTTGGATCTGCTGCATCTTTTATTCGAAGCGCATTTTGTTCAATAGGCATCTTTTATTTATACTGATGTTATTTTTCCTCCACAACCAGAAATTGGTGTGGGTAAAATAATTACATGCCATATAATGTAAAAATAGTCTTTAAAAAGCCAAAGCAATGCATGTAGGTAAAACTGTACAGAAGTCATCATTTGTTCAAACAATTCATACGCGGGGTGGGGGAAAGGATGAATTTTACATGATCTGGATGACTTATTCCAGAATTCAGAAACTGAAGCAGGCAATGAAAGTAACAAATACATTAGAATTCAACGCAGTGCAAACAAACTGTCAAGTCTGAAAGAATCCATGGAAAAACATTTTTCACAGGAACTCGCCAGGCTGTTTTTCATAGGTCTCTTCACGTAGGACACAGAACTACAAAATAAAGTTGCATATGAGTTTCATTAAATTGATATGCTTTGTAGAATATTACAGGAAACTTTCCAGAATCAAAGTCGCAATAATGATCTGTTCTAAATATGATTCCCAACCCTTACCACATAAACAAAACTGATAGTCATAAAGATATATACATAATATGTACACACACACTACTGCCAATTAATTTTTTTTTTACAGAAATGAGCTATATAGTAGGTCATGTCTTGGTCATTGGGTTAAAATTTTTAAATTTAAGAAAAGCTGACCAGCTTTAGTTCTCAATTTTCAGAATCTATGGCGAGATATTTGAGATAGAACATCTCAAAAGATTTAGGGCAATTGTATTCTCTTGCCCAAAATATTGAAGCCCTCAACTTAAAATACAGAGAGGATCAAGACATGTCCTTTATATACTCCTTTATCACATCTATAAAGCACAAACCTCAGAGCAATGCAGCTTTCAAACCAATGCTAGCACAATATAAAACAAATGGAGAAATCAAGTTTAAAATGTCATAACCCAAAATTACAAAGGTGTCCTTGTTATGGGGAACAATATTTCATCATTAATTTAAACTTTACATAAACCTTCATAGTTGATAATAATTATGATGATTTGTAATAGTAAAGTTTAAGTATCTAAAAACAAAAATATAAGCAGAAAGAATTTACATTTTCTCTGAAAACACATACTCTCAAGAGTTTGTCCATCTAGAAATTGGCTACCAAGGTTTGCTGTAATCCTGAAAGTTTGCCACTCACATTTATTTAATGACCAATGTTACACATTACAATATGTGACACTATCATCTGTATGTCAAACATTTTCATGATGGTGCAGTAGTTAGAATGCAATAGTTCAGGCTTATTATGCCAACTGCCAGCAGTTCAATTCTCACCAGCTGAAGGTTGACTCAGCCTTCCATTCTTTCGAGGTCGGTAAAATGGGAACCCAGATTGTTGAGAGCAATATGCTGACTCTGTAAACTGCTAAGAGAGGGCTGTAAAGCACTGTAAAGCAGCATATAAGTCTAAGTGCTATTGCTATTTCATTAAAGAGGAGAGGGACAGCTTTTTGTATAATCTATCTTTCCTACCATCTACACTTCCAAATAGAATTTAGAACATGGAAATTGGCCTGAAGAGATAGAGACATTCTAGAAGATCTCCTTAATATCAGAAAGACCAGCGTAACCATTCTGAAGAAACCGATTCATTCTGAAGTTGCTTCCAAAATAGCACCATTGATTTTGTTCGTGACTACAACATCACAGAAGTTATATTTATAGAAAAGCCTCAGTCATGCAACATGCAATAATCAGTAAACTCACCTTTCAAAATGTAGTCTGTTAATAAGCTTGGCACTTTCTCACTGTCTTCTTTCATGGCATGAAGAACTATAAAATATGAGGGTGCAGTCAATGGAAGAAGTAAATTCACTGCCTTTCAATAAAATATGCAAGTAGAAAAAACTAACGAATGAAGGTGAATGTACATGTCCCAGGATATTAATGCTGCACTGTTGCAGGATCCAGTCTGGGTCTGACACCAGAGGTTTTGTCTTCCAAGCTTTTGGAGTCATGCTGGAGCCCATCTTCAGGAAACTTCTCTCTAGCCAGAAAGGTCGGAAGACAAAACCTCTGGTGACAGACTCAGATTGGATCCTGGGAAAAAAAACAAAACTAAAATGGAAGTTATTCTGTAGATCCTTTTCTCATCATTTGTTAAACGGAGAAAGATATAAAAATACAGAGTAACTTCGATAGCTCTGAAATGTATTCAGATTTGTTTAAAAGATGGATTATTCCTATGAACCCTATTCCTATGAGTCCCATGAACTCAGACCATTCCTATAGTACCAAGAACTTTCCATTTTTGGTAGGTTGTGACTATCTGGGAATTAAAACAATGTATCAATCTTTTCCCCAACAAATCCTTCTGGAAAAAGTGGAACAGAAAAGAAGTTATTTTTTCCTCACTGATCTAGAACTGGAGTCAATGTCCCAGGGAGCTGAACAATTACACAAATTATAAAGGAAGACAGTATGAAAATTTAGAAGATCCAACTGCTTTTTGTTTTATTTTCCTTTTTCCATTCCTCTTGCTGAAGAGATATGGAAACGTCTGGCAGCACAGCAATTTTCTCCTGGCTTTTTAAATCTCTTATTTTCTCATTTTCCCCACCTTGCAGTGAAGGGAACCTGGAAAATTTAGGGAACTTGTCTTGTATGTTTATTTTTTTAGATCATTGCTACAGATAGTCCTTGACTTACAACAGTACATTTAATGACTGTTCAAAGTTACGACGACCCTGAAAAAAGTGACTTAAAGACCATTTTTCACAATTATGACCATTGCAGCATCCCCATGGTCAAAATTCAGATGCTTGGCAACTGGTTCATATTTATGACGGTTGCAATGTCCCGGAGTCAGGTGATCATCTTTTGTGACCTTCTGACAAGCAAAGTCAATGGGAAAACCAGATTCACTCAACAATGGTGTTACTAATTTAACAACTGCAGTGATTCACTTAACAAATGTGGCAAGGAAAGTCGTAACATGGAACAAAACTCCTTTAACAATATAAATTTTGGGCTCAATTATAGTTGTAAATTGAGAACTATCTATGCATTTGCCCAAAAGAAAGATGAGCTACTGACAGGAAAAAACCAACAGCTTCTGTCTTACTGAGGAAGAATGGAGAAATAACTTTGTATCTAAAAGCTCACTACATAAGAGACTGAAATAATGTATAATCTTTCTGAAAAGAGCACATTCCAAATCTGTAATTATAAGCATGCATAAATGTCATGCAAAATCTATTTAACTCTTTGGAATTGAAGTAATATCCAGGTTTGAACAGTTCTAGTGCTCTAAAATAAATGGTTTGAGCGCTGTCCTCCAACAGCATTAGTAGAAAAAGAGTCAGGTAGTCTGTCCCTGAGCAACCAGCAGATCAAATTTCAGCTAGTCAGTGGATAACAATGGTGTTAGTTCCCAGAGTGTATCATTTTAAAAACTTAGGTCACAACAAAGAGGGATTTTCAGGCTTATTCCCTTCTAGTTAGTGTCTCAGCCCTCTTGTTAAGCAGTTAATTGTGCAAGGCAAACAATGCTGATTTTACTGGAAAAGATAAATGAATATAGTCTTCCAAAAAAATCAAGACATAGGAATGATGGATAATTGTAGGATATCTGAGAAGAGTAAACAAACATAGTCTGCTGACCAATTCCAAACATTTCAAAGCAAAGTGGATTTCCCTGGCTAATTTAGAACAGAACCACTGAGATGAACCTTAAGAACCTTCTTCAACTGAAGAAACTCTGGAAAATCAGCTGTTTTTCCCCCCAGCATCAAAACACCCATGGAAATTTATTTCTCCAACAAATCATATTTATGTGCTTACTTTTTGTCAATGTTTGAAGATCTTCAACTGATGGAGGTCCATTTTTCTTTTCATATGGAATAACAGTTGTCAGATACTGTCAAACAAAAGTTATGATTACTATAAAATATTTTCCTAATTAACTTTAATTGCTAAACATCTGATGTTGGCAGTATTAGATATGCTTTGCAATATGTAATTATGTGTAATTCAACTTTTTGTATGTCATCTAGGAAAAAGTGAAACACCGTGAATTCAACAAAAAGATGTCCCAGCAAGTAACAACAAAATAGGTGTCCCCGTGACAAAACTGATAATTTTAAAAATGTTCTTATATATTGCATACATTTTTCTGAGCTTCTAAATTACACATTCTTTTCAGAATTTTGCTGCACTGTAGAGAGCTCTTTTGTGATTCCATACAGAAGTAAATTTTTACATTAGGTATTTTGTACAGCCATAATATAACTGAAAACTTCTTTTATGTACAACATAAAATGTTTAATGAACTCTAGACAAGACCAATGCACTATAATTATTAGCAAAGAATAAACAATATATCTGCCACAACAGTGAAATCATGTCTGTGAATTCAGGTCTTAAAGTTTTGAGGCCAGAACCAGACCATCTTGCTTACATCTTGGCAGTGATAGGAAGTTTTATATTCCAACTTCACAATTCCCTCATAATGAACTCTGACAGTGCACCATGCAAGAGAGTCAATTTATGCTCAGAAGTGGGTACACCTAGGAGCAACAGTGGAATCTCATATAGCTGAGTTTAGCTGTTATTTCTTGCACTGATTTATACACATGTATGTGATTCCTTGAAATCATACTGTATCTGCTTTTGCTGGTATAGAAATAAAGTGCCATTTAGTTTTAAAATTTTATTTTGAGCAATATTTTTCCCCAGTTCTTTGATTTTTTTTCCTTACAGGTCTACAGTATTATGGATATAAACTCAATTTAGAGCAAATTATATCACCAACTTTAAATGAACATTCATATTTAAAAATCCCAAGTAATGTGATCTTTCCAAAGCTTAATTCTTCAACACTTATAATTAAAAATTTGCATTTTCTCCTTTTGGTAAAATCTTAAAGCAATTCTATAGCCTTGATTCAGCAACAGATTTCAATACAAAGAAGATATTTTTATTCTTAGATTGAAGAACAATACTGTATAGAGTTTACTATTTCTAAAATTATTTATAGGAAAAACACAGACCTTCCACATTCCATACTTGAATAATACCAATTCAATATTTTCAAAAAAAATCGATTAGTATTTTTTATTTCAAAATGAAGGGTATTTCCAGGGTCTGGGTTTCTTGTGTGTGGTTTATTTCTTATGAATTATATTCTTGCATTGAATAGTAATGAGGTCTCACACTATTGTATTAGACTGATAGCATAATCCAAAAACAGTATCAGGAAAGGCAGTTTTATACTAACATAAAATGATTATATAGATACAACTTAATTCATCCCACAGAAATACAAACAAATCAAACTAATAACACAATGTTATGCATATTTATCAGGCCCATTTGTATTTGAAGCCCCTTCCTGAAGCAGGAAACACCTCTTTAATAGATAGGAAACTATTAAGCTAGCACCAGTAATAGATTCAAGACTGTAATTGGGATAATACATATATCTTCAGATCACATACTTTATGTACTGTTGAAGGCTTAAAAAGCTCTCATTTATGCACCACTTTCAAATTGGACACAAATATTCTCCAGTTCAGACATAGATACATGCACAAGGCTTAACATGAAGTGAGGAATAATCCCTCAATGGTCTACTTAAATGAGGTGTCACTGTACCATTTATAATAGGCTATAGTGGACAGGCTGGTAACATACAAGGCAGAACATGAATCTTCAGACTTATCCTTCAAGTTCCATGGGAACTGTCTGGATTTAGTATATCACATGCTTTCTAAGTCTTAAGATTTAACAGAGATTCAAATTTGCCCAGCACATGTACTATCTAGAACAGGGGTCCTCGAACTTGGCAACTTCAAGACTTGTGGATTTCAATTCCCAGAATTCTGGAAGTTGAAGTCCACAAGTCTTAAAGTTGCCAAGTTTGGAGACCTCTGATCTAGAAGGAAGACAAGATAGATCCTATGTATGATGTTCGGTGATTTCTAAATTTGATTTCTTGCTAGTTTCGTTACCCAAGCTAGGTAACAGCATCAGTGCTAATCTAGCACCGATCTAAGTCCGGATCTGATCTTAAACTATCAGAGACTAGCACTGATGATGTTACCTAGTTTGGATAATGCGACATCTGCAAGAAAACAACCAAGTTCAGAGAACACTAAGGATCCCTCATTTCAACCCTGAGCTACAAATATTTTCCTTTATTGAGATCCTATGTATCTCACCAACAGCCCAAGATTAAAATAGTAACAAGCACAGGCTTCTGTAATCAGAACAGGCTTTTATGCTAAGAGGCAAGGGTTTAATACAAGCACGCAGCTGCAAGACAGACAGACTAGGCTAGGGGCAGATAATCTATTCTCTAGTTCTAAATAACACAGGCAAGTATTTTTCCCCCTTCAATCTCTCTTACAACATAGGTAAATCACTGGCATGGGTGAAAGATAGCAGCATTTTCAATTATGTTTGATGCAATGTTATGTTTCCTTTCTTTCAATCTCTTAAGTTTCCATGCCCGCGCCACTTCATTCTCATGGCTTCATTCTCATTCACTTCATTCTCATTTTTAGAAAGAAAAACAGGATACTTTGGTTTATAAAGCATTAAACTGGACAATAGCTGGCCAAGGATTTTTTTTAAAAAATTCTGTTTTAGTTGTTTTGTGCCGTCTTATTTTTCTTTCTGTTTTAGTTCCTCCAGCCTCTTCCCCAAACCTCTCTAATATACTACTTTTCTACACTGGAAAAAAAAACAAGAGATTTGCTATGAAAAACATATAATACTAAAGTCTTCATTTTGGGAAAAAATACTACTGGAAGAAAAAAACAAAACAAAACAAAAAACCAGTGGCTTCCCTTGTGCTACACTTAAGTTCCAGTTTTGAAAACAGAGAGTTTTCTATTGAGATTATCAGCGTACTGGAGTAAGCTTTAATGTTTTTCATATTTCATATCAACATCCATGTTCCACATATGAGCAATACTTTCATTTTACTATGTTCTTCAACATTCTTCATCAGATAAAACAGCAAGCAAACAGATAGGGATCAGAAGAATCAGGAAAAAGTATTATGTATTACAAAATCTGCGTTCTGTCCTAATCATAAAAAAGAATGTTGAAGGAATTGTAGACATGGCTTTTATTTGGCTTTGTGTTGAGTTGTGGCATAAAATAAAGGGTTCTGCCCTTTATTGCACATATTACTTTCATGAATGAAGGCCAATATACGTGTCCCAGGACAATGTTGCTGGATCCAATCTAGGTCGGTCACTGGGATCTGGATCTGGTCCCAGTAACCAACTCAGTTTGGATCCTGCAACATACTACTTGGATACATATAGTCCGTAAGCTTCTGGAACATACATTTTTTTCGGAGATTTGTGTCCTGTATAAAAAATATATGAAATGTTGAGGACTTTTACTTCTTGTAACTTAAAAATAGCAAAATAGATTTTACCATTTTGGAAGATATGAGGCATGCTGTTTACTGTTCATTTTTGTCTTCCTAGACTGAAACTTTAAAACTGACATAATCTTTCATTACTGCTTTCTTAGACAGGTATTTAACTCCAAGTATGTATTATGCTGTTGCCTGCATTTGATTTTGAAAAATTAAAAATAAACCCTAAGGGGAATTTTTTCATCTACTCTATTTTTTCTCCCGTGCATATCAAGGCTTGTCTTCTTCTTTAACTACTAAGGAAAGAAAACCTTTGTAAACAGCTCCTAGCTTTAAGGCAGGGAAGATGTGAAAAAGCATAGAAATGTATTTCCTCCCTTTCTGAGAACACCTGAAGTCTGAAATTGCCAACTTTTAAGACAGGAATGTATGCAGAGACAGAAAAGGCAGCACAAGGAAAACAAAGTCAGAGGGTAGCCCAGCACCTGTTTTTCTCCACCCGCGTTTCCAAACGTTTGTCGAAAGCCATTCTGAATGACATTTGAGATTCCTTCCATACTGAAGCGCTATAAGGAGTGAGAATGTGACAGAAAAGGGGGGAAAAAAGAAAAATGTAAAGGTATTAGTTAGGTTTTTTTTTGGGGGGGGGGAGATGCCAGCAAGGTAAATGTCAGAAATGAAATATAGCTGTAGCTTAATGAGAAAAGCACCGACTTTTAAATATTTTGTTCTTTAGAGATTTAGGAATGGAGCCAGCCAAATATCATATATACAGAACTAAGATAAGGTTGTTTTAGCATTAACGATCTTTGGCTGAGGCTTATTATCTCAAATAATATATTTAAATATATATGAAATCACACACATAGAACATGCTAAAGCACATTGCCTTGTAAGCTTTTTGCTCCTTGCCCAATCCCATTATACATTACACAGATGAAATAATCCAGTGTCTTATTGGTATTAAAACTGCATTTCCTTGCTCCTCATGGCTGAAAGTGGAAAACATAAAACAATACCAATGAACGACACAACGTATTCTGGGCAGGGAATTCAATTTTCAGTTGATATTCCTTTTTGAAATAAATCTAGATCTGTAGATTTTAGAATCTCTCAATATTTCATTCTTCAACTACACAATATTCCCATATGAGGTGGCCTGTAAGATATTTCCATGCTAGTTTGTTTGGAAAAAATAACACCCCCCCCCCCCATTTCTTCTATACCTAGAAGTCTTGACAAAAAAACCAAACTGCTACTCATGGCAACTGACCGGATTTGCTTTCTTAGGTTTCTCCTATACAAACAAGAAAATTCTAACTGAAACTGGAAATCCCACTGCAGTACTGAAATGAACAAATGTCTGATACAAGAAGTGGATGTTTATGTTGTGAGCTACATTCAGTCTCTATGCACAAAACAAATCAGTTAATCCTTTCATTCTTTGCAATGATCTTCAATATGGGGACCTCAGGTTTTAATGGTAGAAATGTGAGAAATATAATCTGCTGTACACAAGATAATCTACATACAAATTAGAGGTATGTTATATAATGCCCACAGAAGAACAGCAGAGAACAAATCATTTGCTGCCAATAGCCTTATCTTTTGTAAAGAATTGTGGAATCATTAAAGGCAAATTTTAATCAGTACTGCAAACTAATATTACAGCATTCACTTGCTATCTCCTGATCCTAAAGTGAAAGATATCAATGAAAGATTACAACAAACAGACATTGTATAACGAACTATGTGACAATGACAGGGAAAAGATTATGCTCAGTTTCATCCATAGAAGTTGCATATTGTCGGAAAATATTCCTCTTTGAGTACCTGCAAACATCTCATTGATCTTTAAAGGTACATTCACTTTATATGTTCATATTCTTCCTGTATAGATATTAAACAACCAAGCTTTTGTCAGAATAAACTCTTACTCGATGCAAGAATTTTGATGTTATAATTTATGAATTTAGCACTATGTTCCTTTTATAATAGCATTATTATTCTGTCCTCTATTGGCTGGACAGCACAGTTATTGTGTCAAATCCTTAAAAAGATATTGAAGAAACTGCTTATAGCTTCCTAAGATAAGATTATCAAAGGTGTCAAGGAAAATCTATGTTGAAAAAGATATACATCTTGGTTCTGGAGCAATTTTTATAGGGGAGACTATTATACAGATTGCTCTTATACTTCTGTAGAGATAGTGTCTGAACGTTAAGGTATTCAGCTGATACATTCCCCTAGAGTAACAGTGTCTCTCCCCTCAAGTTAGGATGCATTAATTCTCCTTTGAAAAAAGATGCCTGGTATCCAGGGGTGGGATTCAAATTTTTAACAACCGGTTCTGTGGGCTTGGCTTAGGTGATGGGCGTGGCTTGGTGGTCATGTGACTGGGTGGCCATGGCTTGGTGGTCATGGTATTGGCTGGACGTGGCCAACTCAATATCACTCACATTGAAATGCGCATCTCCTCGCCTGGCCTCTCATAACTGTGGGGATGGGGAGTCATAAATGTGAAAAATGGTCATAAGTCATTTTTTCAGTGCCATTGTAACTTTGAATGGTCACTCCACACAACCAAAGTAGCAGCAAAGGAGGGGAAAAAAACTCCAGAGAGGTTCCTGAGACAGGAAGTCTAGTCCTGCCAAGAATGTAATAAGGGTTAACGAAGAGGCAGTTTCTGTAAGCAACATCAGAATGTTTCCTTCCTGCCTTCCTTACAGGATTAGGCTAGTAATTTCTTCTAACAACCGGTTCTCCGAACTGCTTTGAATGTTAACAACCGGTTCTATCGAATAGGTGCGAACTGGTAGAATCCCACCCCTGCTGGTACCCAATCATTTACCTTGTAGGCACCAGGCAAAACATTTTTGTATTTTCCTTGATTTTTAAGTTATTCTTATATTCAATTTTTAAATTACATTTACATTCTCTAGTTGTTTTACTATGTGGCTTAGCTCATCGATTTATAGTCTTTATGTATGTTTAAAACTGTGCTTTATTGATTATTTTCATTTCTACTCTACCAGAGGATATTCATAAAAGACAATGTAGAAATAAAATTGCACAAAAGCTTTAAAGCTCTGCAGAATAAAGAGTATATTTTCAGTTGACCTTAGTGTAGTAGAAGATAATTAATCCATTTATTATCTAGGTTCAGTTGATAATTATTGGACCTCCTAATTACTTTGGCAAATAAAAGGTTAAATTATAGGTCACATCACATTATTTATATGTAACATAAATTACAGCAGAAAAACAGTCTTTAACAAAAGTGTTTGTAACGTACATGCCTGGCTTAGTTGTCTCTCAAATTACATACTTTTTACAATATACCGATGTTATTTTTCCTCTTCCTTATTTACAAGAAGTATGATTTATATTTAACCTTTTATCTAATTCTGCTTTGTAGTGATTGTCTTTTCAGAGGGAATTTGCTAAGAGAGTTGGGTTGCCACAATTTCCACACAGTTCCTGCTGCTTTAGTGCAGGGGACGCCAACCTTTTGGACCTCAGGGACCACCAAACTCATAATTTTAAATCCCAGGGACCACTAATATGAATTTTGACTGACAGTGGCTTGCTGACGCAGCTTGAAGTCCTTCAGAACCAACCCTCTAGGGCAGCGGTTGGCAACTGGTGGGCTGCGAGAAAATTTTGGTGGTCCACAGAGAAATGTCTGCCCCCAGAGCACCTCCCCCAAAGCATAAATCTCCCCTATCTAAATCTCCCAGCGCAGCAGAACAGCTGATGGTCAGAAAAAGGAAAAATAGCAACTTAGCAGGCAAGTTTTCCAGGTAAGGAGTGAGTGTGAGGGGAGGAGGGCCATGTGGGCGGTGCAGCCTTGTGTTCCTGTGCAGCCTGGATTAATTGCTTTTGGGGGGGTGCTCTGAGGGTGACATTTCTCTGCAGACCACCAAAATTTTCACGCAGCCCACCAGTTGGTGACTGCTGCTCTAGTGACAATGCGTTTGCTCACATGATAAACACAGATTTTAATGAAATCAGTAGCTAGGTTTTTTTTCTGGTTTGCAAAATATCTTAAAATCAAGAAAGCCTAGTGTTGATGAAAAAGTTATTGTGGATTCTGGGAAGTACTCTAATGCCAATGAGCCTAGAAAGAACTCTCCAGGCACTTTAGCATATGCTATTATATGCATAATACCCTTAGCAGATTCTATTGTCTAAGGTGGATGGGAGAAGACAAAACAGGGAGATTACATACACATATGATGAAATGAAGTTAATGAGAGGAGGAATAATGTGGAAACTTCAAGTAGCCTGCGGATAGAAAACAATTGTACGCTTGTGCATCAACGATTACTTAAATATATTGAACAAATTCTACTTCTGTGATAGCCCTGCTGAAAAATGCTAATTTCAATAGCAGATGTTAACCAAACTTAAAGTAGGTGTTAACATTTCAAACACTCCCCAGATTTCTCTCTCATTCCCTAACAATTATCCAAAGAGGTAAAAAGGCTACTTGTACAAATTTGGTTGGACAAAGTAAGAAATATAACGCTGATCATCTGAGCAAGTAGTAGTTATTCTTCAGAGTCTTGTAAAGCTTGGCCAGTATTAGTGATGACAAGAAAAATAGAAGATCATGAATATTTCTATGCCTTTTGAAGTATGTGGAGTCCAGCTATCATTTACCAAAAGAGGCGATGTTATTAATGCTGCTTATTATTATTCATTTTAACTATTAGTAAGAATAACTGGACAAAATTAGAGATCATATTATATAAATTTAAAATGTAAACCATGTTTTAAGAGCTCTTACTGTTCCAGGCAGATGGCTTTTTTCTTGCTTTCCATTCTGAGGAGTGCCATTTTTTAACTTTTTCTTCTTCTTCGTCATTTCTTTTTGTTCTCGTTGCTTGTTTTGTACTTCGATCAGGACAGATATGAAGCTGTTCTTTACTTCCTTCTCAAACTCCAATTCATCCCTTAGGGCTAATTGTTGCACTAACTCCTCAGAGTAGTCCTTGATGGCTGCTTCAATCTCTTCTAAGAGATCATTTAACTCAGACACAGACAGTTTTTGCACCCCTGTTTTCAAACAGCAGAAAACATTATGATCTCTAAAACAGTTGATTGTCATGAAATTCTAATTCCAACAATACTTTCCCTAATAAACATATTCTAATTGTTCAATACGTACTTAGGTTAAACACTGTTCCATTATTCTATTTATATACATATAAATCCCCATCCAGCCCATCTAGATATCATCTCTAAGAAAAATCACTTAAAACAATTCTGAACTGTTTAACAGTGCAATTATTTTTCTCTCCCCCCCACCCTAATTGTTTTTAATTTGGTTTAGCATGTAGAAAGTTGCAGCTCATAGCTTCCAGGATTTCTTTTAAAGCTCAAGGCAGATTAGTTTAGATGGTTCTCCTCAATGATTTAAATTAAGTGTTTCTCATTTTTAACATGTGTGGACTTCATCTCCCAAAATTCTCCAGCCAGCCAAGAATTCTGGGAGTTGAAATCCATGTCTTAAAATTGCCACTTTTGAGAAACACTGGTATAAATCATTCGTATTCACAACTGCAATCTTTTTCTTTATTGCTATCATCAGAAGCACTTTCAAATTACAGACATATATATGCTGAAATGAAGGCCAATTTATGTGTCCCAGGATAATGCTGCAGGATCCAATCTGGATCAGTCACCAGGACCAGAAGTATAGTCTTCCGAGCTTTCATACTTATCTTGGAGCCCATCTTCATGGAATGTTTCTCTAGCATAGTCTAGAGCAGGGGTGTTAAACTCACGTTGCCATTGGGACTTTTCCCCCCTTTGCTAAACTGGGTGTGGGCATGGCCAGCACCTGATGCATCCGGTCCATGGGCTGGGAGTTTGACAGCCCTGGTATAGAGGGAGAAGTTCCCTGAAGATGCGGTCCAGCACGAGTCTGAAAGCTTGGAAGACTAAACCTCTGGTTCCAATGACCAACCCAGATTGGATCCCGTAGACATATACAACTGAAAACTAGTCCTATTGTATTTATCAGCTGAAAGCTATAAATAAACACTCCTATAACCACTTCCAAATAGTTTAGGATTACAGTACCTAGTGAATATAAATATATCAAATAATTTAATAACATGAATAATATCAAAAAAGGAATGTGGATCTGGTAGTTTACCTTGGAAAATACACAAAAGTATTCTAGAAGAGAAGATTGAAATTGCATTTTCTAGAAGTGCTATCAGTTTTAAAGAACAGTTCTCTTCTCATATTTGCGTGTAAGAAAAGAAAGCCACATACTGGGAGACTCCATAAACTTTTCAGGTCTATAGAAAGTGTACAATTGCTCCAGATTATGGGTTGTTTTTTTGGAAGACAACATCCATTTACACAATCTATTGCAATTGCGTACTTTCTTGCCTTGCCTTCTTTAAGAAAGAAAGGAAAATATTACATCTTTATTTTCTTTCAGCAACAGAAAATAAAAATCTGAGGGAAAGATAAAAATGTTCTTAGTACAACAGTATTTAGAAAATAGAAGGATAGGATAAGTCACAACTACTTTTTCAAGAATGCTGTATGTTGGCCTCTTTTCTGAAGTTTCAAATGTGACTCAGTTTTGATTCTTCCAAATATACTTTATGTGCAAGTAATTATCGCATAATAAAAACTTTGGCGTACTATAAAAGATGTGTATAATAGTAGCATATTCTTTAAATGCAGGATAGTTTTTAAGACAAACATCAAACAGAAGATACAAGTAAACATCACTTACTTTCTTCATAATTGTGGTTTGTACTAGACCTTTTAAGTGTTTGAACTTCTTGGGACAACATGGACAGACGGTCTGTCTGGCTTGGTGTTTCATCATCATCTGGATCGGGAGATTCCTGCATCATTTCCTCTATTTCTTCAATTACCTTCCACACACAAAGAGAAAGTTACAGAGGGCGAAAGACAAAATTATACTGATTATTTATTTTTGTAAAGACAGTTTAATAATAGCTTTTATTCACTAAAGGACTTTACAGGTATAAGTATAAAAGGTCTCATAATAAATACAACAGTATCGAGGGATGATTTTAAAAAATAGAGAAAGATCTGTAAGTTTATTATGGTTTTTTTTTCTTTTAATCCTTTGTATCAGGTGGGATTGAATGGAGCTTGAGCATTTACTAATTGGATGCCCTTCCTGATGCCTACATAAAATTCGCAGCAGACAATTACTCATTGCGCATAGAGAGAGAAATATTTGCTGCGACCTAGGATCAAACTTTGGTTTTTGTGTGAGGTCAGAGCTCCACCTCTAGACCACTGTGCCAGTCCAAGTTAATTATGATTTTTATATAAATAATTGCTTATAAATTATTAACTATGGAAAACCCACTCCTGCCTTTGGAGCAATATAGTCATACACTTATAGCATAGTCAAACCTTACACTTATATAAACACAATTATACATTTCCAAGTGATTTACAAATCAAATCAGAAAAATGATAAAATCCACAAATACCTACTATAATAAGTCTCAGAAAACATCAGTAAAAACTAAAACAATCCACTGCTACTCTGAAAGGAAGCAAAACAAAGGCCTGTCAGAAAAGCCATGTTTTAATTATTGTCTGAAAAATTAACAAAGCAGGGACTAGTTGGATTATGAAAAACGAGCATAATGTTGAGAAGCAAAGTGAATAGCATTTTAATCCAGCAATTGTACGTGGATTTGGGTAACAAATGCTACTAATTTGAATAGGAAGCATGTTTCTACATTTATCTAGCAGACTTTCCGGAGTCTGTAATACCAGTACAGGATGCAGTAGTTCACTTGGTAACAGTATTACAGCTTCGCATTCCCTAGCATGGCTATCATTTTAAGGTCTGATCTGAGTTGCTGGATTCTTGGATAAAATATTTTTCAAGGGATGTTCAATGGCTGGAAAACCGATATGGAAGGAATGACTAATAAAGTAGTCTAATCAGAGAAGTTAAATAATACTGCACAGACAACATGAAAGGAAACTGAAACTGTTGCTAAAACGTAGATGTGCATTTATGAGCTAGTACAATGCATATATCTTCCACCAGTGCAAGAGTGAATGGATAGCTGGTGAACACAATTGTTATATTTCCGTACCATTCTGATATTCCTTTTCAATGATTGCTTCAAGAAAAAAGAAAAACAAAACAGTAGCATTGTAGAAGTCGTCTGTATAATGAAGAGATATATACATACACACGTATATTTTGTAGGAGCTTCATCATCTATCAGTATGTTTTTGCATGAAATTTAATATACTGCTTGCTACCTTTCAAATCCTATATAGCTTAGAGCCAGAAGTATTTAAGAGAGTGGCTCTCGTAAGTAGATCCTTTCCCAAATAGATCTGGTGGCACAGTAGTTAAATTGCAGTGTTGCAGGCAAACTCTGCCCACAGCCTGGAGTTTGATCCTAATGGGCTCAAGGTGGACTCAGCCTTCCATCCTTCTGAGATCAGTAACATGAGGACCCAGATTGTTGGGGGAAATATGCAAATAATACTGTTACATTGTAAACCACCCAGAGAATGCTGTAAAGCGCTATGGGGTGGTATATAAGTCTAGGTGCTCTTGCTATCAACTGAGTTGGAGGGTTAAGGGCTTAGGAAAGGTTCTCACCCACCACAAAAAATAATGAGCCCCCATTGTTTTCTGGGCAGGACTCCCCTCCTATGGAACAACTGGACTTCTGAGAAAAAGATGATTCTTACTCTCATAGCTTTCTACAACCTCTTTTAGCTCTTTTAGAAAGTCTTGGGGGATTGAGTCAGGAATCAATGGTGCCAGTACAGTATCGTTGTTTTTGTTTTTGTTGTTGTTGTTAGTATTATGATTTTCATGTATCTGTATGCTACTTAGAGTCTGATAAGACTGAGGTATAGATAAATCCCATAAATAAAAACAAAATAAAACGTTTGTACAAGAAGTCCTCTATAATATATACATAGCTTGGCATAGAGTGGTTGACATTTTGCAAGTTAAATGGCATTTCAAAAAAATCAGGTTCCCTTCTCTTGATGTGTGTTAAAATCTAAAAATTCATAGCTATGTAAACATTTGAGCTCTGGCAAAAGCAATATTTATTTAATAGACATTTGGGGAGGTAGAGAAGACATCTACTTAATTTGAATGTTCATTAAATCTAAATTTGCACCATTTGTATCAATTTGTTCATCATTTGTAGAACTACATAATTGAGGTAAATGGCATTGTTTGCAGTAAAATCTCTGTTTAATGAACAAATCCATTGAATGGATGTTACATCCATACAAAAATCTCTTTTACATCTGAAGTTGACTACACATGGTTCATCATATACCGAGCTGACTAAAGTCACACAAGTAAACATGATTTTAGACTTAAATTACCTTACTAACCATTCTATCTGATTATTCAATCATGTTTTGCCATGCTGTGGTTTTTTTTGTAGACCATCTTTATTTTCCTACTGCCATTCATAAAACATTGGAAAACTACTTTGAATATTGTAACTTTTTATCAAATATGGGAATATTTTCCAGAACTGAGGAGGGCTAGCACTTGCTATTGAAGTGCTTTTCATGGATAATATGAGAGGGGAAGCCTGCAATACACATATATGTACACACCTCATCCATTTTCCCTCTATTGTACACATACATAGCTAAGAGTAACAGGAAAGATGAAAGGGTTTAAACTCCTCCTCCCCTGGCTCAGCCTCTTTTTTAAAAAAAATCAAAATAGTTGTTTCCCTAGTAAAATGAAAACAATGGGTTCTTTTCTTATTCATCCCACTGAGTTATAAGAAAAAGTAGGTGGGGGGAGGACATTGATGGGCCATAGGCAAAACTAGCAGAAGGCAAAGACCATTTGTAGTTCTCCCATATAAGTTCTAATTTAACAATGAAACAGTACCTCTCTTCTAAATGTAAAACATGGGTTATTCTGTATTAGACCATAACTTTACTAGGCTGTTTCTAAGCATTTCAAACATATCTGAATGATGAAATGTTTGAGGCTGAATCACACAAATTTATTTTTGAACTTTACCTGTTCGGCTGTGAAGAGAGGTTCTTCACTGATGCAGGAGACGATGATAGAATGCATGTCTAGCTGATCTCTCAACTCTTCATCATCTGATAAGTCAAGGTTCAAATTATCATTAGCCTGTAAGAAAATATAAAACAACAGGTTATTAAAATGAGAGAAATCAATCAAATATCATATTATATAATAATGTATGGTACCTTTACAAATGCTTAAGGATTCAAAATATTAACATCCCAAAATTATTATTATTTTCCCTATCTATGTGGTGCTCAACCAACGTATCAAAATCCAGTTTAAACATACAAATAATATTCTGCAATTCAGGTTGATTAATTCAAATGAACTGAATAAATAGATACCGTCTTGCCAGTTCACAGATCACATTTATTCCTGAAAGGATCAATTTAATACAATCCATTCTGTGACTTGATATCCTAAAACAAACCATTGGCCTTGGACTCTATTTTGGCTTCAGAGGAGAGGTAAGAAAACAAACAAACCATAACCTATATTTAAAAATATAGTGAGATCCCAAACCACCGTCAAATTTATTCTTCAAATTAAATAAGATACATAATCAAAACCGTTAAAGACAAACAGTGTGGCATAATAACGTGCTAGATTAGAAGCCAAGCAATTGAGGCTTTTATCTTTCCTTAGGCACGGAAGCCAGCTGGGTGCCCCTACTCAATTTCAGGCTCCGTGACAGGCTAGCCAATAAACACATTATGCATTGATAGGTTGTAGGGGTAGATCTTCAGTAAAAGAAATGTCTATTATTTTTTAACAATTTTGCTCTTTTAGAAACCTTACAACTCTTCCATGGATTTCCTGATTCAGTTCTAGGGTTCGGCACATAGATCTATCCAAGTAAGTGATAGAACCTATCTCGACTAAGCTGATTCCAAAATGCTTAGCATAGATGGTTAGCATTGGTAGGAAGTCACCAGGAAATCTCAGGATTGTAAGCTACAGCAACAAATAATAATATAAGAACTATCCCAGGAAGTAATGGAGAACCACTTCTACCCCAGTGCTGAGAAAATGTCATGGGCTTATCAGTTTAGTCCCAAGCTTTTGATTTTTACTCAAGGGAGTTTTTGCATTAAGAGCTTTTCAGGGCAATCTGAAAAAGTTTAAATGCTTCTATCTTTTGCCTTATACTCTCTCTCTCTCTCTCTGTTTTCTTAAGTTTTCGCGGGTACTTACATGTATGGTATTCAGCTTTGTTCGGGAATTTTCCCACGTCATTATAGTTGTGCTTTTAAAGTTGCTACAACTTTAAAGTTGCGAAACGTTGCTACAACTTTGAAAGCACAACTATAATGAACACACACACTGCTCAAAAAATAAAGGGAACACTTAAACAATACAATGTAACTCCAAGTCAATCACACGTCTGTGAAATCAAACTGTCCACTTAGGTAGCAACACTGATAGACAATCAATTTCACATGCTGTTGTGCAAATGGAATAGACAACATACCATCCTCATGGAGTCTGTTTCTGACCGTTTGAGCAGCCACATGCACATTTGTGGCCCACTGGAGGTCATTTTGCAGGGCGATGGCAGTGCTCCTCCTGTCCCTCCTTGCACAAAGGCAGAGGTAGCGGTCCTGATGCTGGGTTGTTGCCCTCTTACGGCCTCCTCCATGTCTCCTGATGTACTGGCCTGTGTTCTGGTAGCACCTCCATGCTCTGGACACTATGCTGACAGACACAGCAAACCTTCTTGCCACAGCTCACATTGATGTGCCATCCTGGATGAGCCGCACTACCTGAGCCACTTGTGTGGGTTGTAGACTCTGTCTCATGCTACCACTAGAGTGAAAGTACCGCTGGCATTCAATAGTGACCAAACCATCAGCCAGAAAGCATAGGAACTGAGAAGTGGTCAGTGGTTACCACCTGCAGAACCACTCCTTTATTGGGGATGTCTTGCTAACTGCCTATGCTTGCCACCTGTTGTCTATTCCATTTGCACAACAGCATGTGAAATTGATTGTCAATCAGTGTTGCTACCTAAGTGGACAGTTTGATTTAACAGAAGCGTGATTGACTTGGAGTTACATTGTGTTGTTTAAGTGTTCTCTCTATTTTTTTGAGCAATGTATGTATGTATGTATGTATGTATGTATGTATGTATGTATGTATG